TTTTATCTTTGATTTAATCCTTAATTGTATTAATCTGTGTGAATCTGTGCTGTCCTGTTTTTCAATTTTAGCCTGTTGCTGTTTAACTACTGAATTTCCCCACGGGATTAATAAAGATAATTATAATAATTAATAATTAATCTTATCTTGTCTTTATTTTAATGTTTAAGGTTGGAAATACATTTGCAAAACATCTCAAGGGCTGAAAAAAAAAATATATAAAGTATATATTCTTTTTAATATAATAAATCCCTCTGTACTCTCCCATAAAAGACACATTGCACTCTGCTTTACTAATAGAAAAAGGACATAACCCTGTTATATATAATACATTCCACTTTAAAGGTTGTTGTCTAACCACAGATCACTGACCTCATTGTTGACCAGGAGCTCCACTGGAGGCATGGACGCCTGCGGGAATCCCTGCTCCTGGTCCCCGCCGAGGTCCTGCAATGTGAGGTTGGCCTCCATCAGTGCATCTTTAATGAGGATAGACATCGCTCGCAGGATGAAGGAGGCAAACAGATTCATGTGGATGTTGTTCCTCATGCAGTGCAGTCTCCTGATGAATAAGCAGCAACAACAACTAGATTATCCTTCTATAATTCACAAATACACTGCTAACTGCAATACAACTTTAAATAGGGGAATGATACGTTTAAGCATGCATTATCATCTCACTTTCAGCTGGTCTGCTCTTGTTATTGATGAAACTGATCTATTAGACACTACTGTCTATCAAATTGTAATGATTGTAATGATTGTATGTATTACTTCACAAATGTTACTTAACAGACTGTACGTGCGTTGTCCTGTTTGTTTGTCATGCTTTGCTTTCTGTTATTTTGTTCATGTATGTCTGTAAGACGTTGCCTTTGTCGGGACCCCCTTGAAAACAAGATGGTGCAAATCAAGAGGTTTATCCTAATAAATACATTTCTATATGATCCCCCTCTTAGGTCTGTATGTTAATAAAAAGCAACAAGTCTAAATGTTACTACTGATGCCTCTGATCTACATTAGAAGAGAGTTCATCAGCGATACATTTAGATAATGTAAAGATATAAAAGGATTTCAAATCAATACAATTTCTATTTGTATTAAGGCCTATGGATTACATTGCTAAACACAATAGGAAAGTTATTTGCAGTTACATTTCTTTATCTTTTACTTAACCTTTTAATGTGTATACATTCTGAAATGTAATAAAATAAATTCCCTGTTTTACCTGGGATAATGTGCCAGAATACATGTTTCATCTATACGCTGTAACCAGCAGTGGTTCCAGGAAGTACCTGCTCGGAGCCAAAATAGTCCAGCAATCGGATATTGCACTTTGATAAAATGTGTTAATAGGGAAACTGTGGGGGTGCTGGTGGCAGATGGTGTTAGTTTTGGATGGAGGCAGGCTAGCTTTTCCCTGATGCTTCCAGTCTGTGTGCCAAGCTAAGTGGTTGCTGAGCCTTGTGTTTAAGGAACGATATTTATGTGGTATCAATATGTTTTTCTTAGTCTCCACCAGAGAGTAAATAAGCCCATTTCCTAAAATGTCTAACTATTACTTTAATGGGTTCCCCCACCTCCCTGCTGTGTTTGATACACATCAACTGGAACTTTTTTCTGATACTCTCCATTTCTTAGAGATGATTCAAACCACAAATCCTTCCTACCTAAAGAATATCAGGATGCCAAGCGCCAACACCAAAGCCACCAGTGATAAGGAATATCCCACTGTGTACATGATCCGAATATGGCCGTAGTACTGCTGCAAATTAAAACACAGAAAAACACACAGACTCAAAAATAGTTTCCCTCTATTTGACGGGGTTTGTTAGTTTTCAAATCAACAATAATTGTATTTAGTTTCGGCAATCTATAAACAGTGTTTGTCATATAGTAATGGTAAACATAATATATGCCAATGCAAATGAGCGATTGGCCTGTGCTGATTGTATGTACAAAAGGAAAAATAAAAGACAAAAAAAGAAAAACACAGACAAACAATAACAACGACTAAAGTACGGTAATCCCCTATCACTGCCAGTGATCCTTATGCACACAAATATATGCCAGACATATTGTTGGATGAGTATATAT